CACAGCTGGAGGAGTGATTCAAAATGTGATCCATTCCTTCCAAGGGATGATCGATCAATTAGACTGGATGACTCCTGAAATCAAGAAGAAAGCAAATGAAAAGACTAACGGAATTGGTTTGTTGATGCTCACGCTCTCATTAAACCACTCAAATTAACGATGCGACAGTAACGGTATCAGAACAAAAGTCTGGGTATTGGGGCTCATAAGGATGCCAAGAAGTCACTTGGTGGAGAAAGAACAGAAAAAAAGTCGACATCACTTCTCTGAACTAAACCCCCGAGCGAGCGCATTTGTACGAGCAGAAGGCGAGAAAGGGGTGTGGTGGGACGAGATCACTGGACGGTAGTGTGTCGTGGTCGATATAGTCTCGTTTATTCCACCGGCTAACTTTGGCAATGTCTCTATACACGTTATTTGATTTGTTGCTGTTAGGCTGCGTTCATACTTTGCGGCAGCGTCCACAGCGGACACCAGCCTTTCGAGCGTCTGTCACTGCCAGCGACTGAAAAACCATGGATATCTATCAAGCGCCCACCAGTGTCTAGCAGCGTCTACCAGCTTCCACTAGCGACTGGAAAAGTATGGATATTGATTTAGCGAGCGCCAGTGTCCACTAGCCACCAGCAATGTATCCATATCGCTGTATCAACCAGCGACCAGGAATTCATGGGTATCGATCTAGCGAACGCCTTCGTCCACCAGCGTCTAAGAGTGCAGAGTGTAGGGAAGTAGGAGGGTTACAGAGTATAGTATGAGCAAGCAAGAGGGTAGCAGAGGGTAGCAGGACTAGTCGTTGTGAACTTGCGGCGTGTGCAACCGCACTCCACTAGTACGCAGCAACGTACCTTAAAACGCATGATTATGGTATTTAGCAGTTGCACAGGTGCTCTGTGAACCTGACATTCGCTAGATCGAAATCCATACTCCTAATCGCTGGCGCGGACAGACGCTCGAAACGCTCGTGGTGGACGCTGCTGCAAAGTATGAACGCATCCCAATTTAGACTGTGTCGAGCAGTGGGTGGGGCCAATGAAGGTGGGTCGAGCCAGTGGGAGGGACGGCGGCTTGGATACTCTCGTGACTCTTCTTTGCTCTTGTGGAGCAACCGCTGCCATTGGGGACCAAGCTGTTTGCGGATGGTAAGCAACTTCATATCCAATCTGAGCGTGCCTTCAGGAGAGTTGAGGGTATCGATAGCTCTATGGTATCCCATTTAGAAGGCCCTTCAGTCATATTGGTGTAAACAGCTAAGAATCGAGACTCGGGGTCTGCATCTGGTTCGGAGACTAGCTAGCCTTGACACACTTATCCTTTCACATCAACTCTGTTAAAAACAAAGTAAAGAACGGTGGGACTGGGTCCTTCCCATGAAAGTATACTTTTCAACGTCCTATTCACAGTAATCAGAATGCAAATGGGAAAATGGTATAGCATTGAAGACGCATTTTCCATCCAGGTGCTTGGAGAGCCATGTCCATGGAGCTAGTTGGGAATACGGTAGCGTTGGACAGTTGCTTGCTTAAACAAAGACGTGGATCGTGGCACGTGTGTAAGAGAGCCCACGCGGCACTAGAGCCGTTAACGCATGTCTGATCTTCCCTCTCTAGAGACGAAAATTGTTCACAAATCCACAGCCTTGTTACGTTCACAACGTCACGATGGCACCCCTCTGAGACCCGTGGCGCCACGGTCCTGTGCAGGAGTACTGGTGATAGGATCCCTGTTGCTCATATCTCTACTAGAGTCTAGTCTAATTATTGATGAATTACCTCTTCCGATACTTTGAAGAACTATACCAAGCTTGGCAGCTTCTACACTGTGAATAGTCTTCGGGGAAGGTCAACCACTTCACTCTATTCCGACTTGCTGAAATGGAAGGCTCTCTAACAGGGCTGTTCTTTACCAGAAACCTACAATTTCAGTGCAAAACATCGCCTTCCCTGATTGGATCATGAACAATACACTTCTCGATGCGTACTACTCCGATCTCACGTTTGATGCTACCAAAGAGAATTACTACGACATTTGGACCAAACTTATACTGTATGTGCTTTTTGTTGTTCATCCATATAATGGTTACAGAATCTGAATAT